TTTCGCATAGAAAGTCCCAAAACTTTCACTATCCTCCATACAAGAATACATACTAAGCATTGGTTGACGTTAACTGTCAAGGGTGTTTGGCAAATTGAACTTTCCCTCCCCAAGGTTTAAAACTTCACAGTACAACACTCTCCAGTACTATTATTGTTAGAAATATTGAGGGTGAACATTGTAATGGCCCCTGAATGATGGGTCTAGCATCAATTTAAAGCTGGAAATCTTATAATCATAGCAATTAACCTTTTCCATTCATTCTGTAGGTAAAACAAATGGAGAATAAGATACAAGTTTCAATTTGCCCAGTCAACACAATTTGTCTGGCTTTTTCCGTTTCAAGTTTGCTAATAATTTTCACTATCCGTGAAACTCTATGCAGTCACATTAATTTCAACATTGACAGAGATCTATTATATTTCTACATTGACAGAGACCTCTAAGATATCGCTTTAAATTTTTTTGGTTTTTTGTTTCTTTACAAGTTCACAAGATCTCTCTTACCCTCTGTCCTTTCTCTGGGAAAAATGGACACTCTTAAGGTAAATTATGACGTACTCTGTCATTTACGTGCTTAGCCTAAGGTAAATGCAACCTTGTAATAATTTGAGTAGAATGGGGTTAACATATATTGTGCTGGTTCCTAATAAAATCAAAATTTCCCAGGCCCCCCATTTCACACGAAACAAAATGGGAAGTTGCATCAGAGCTCTCTGCAATTCCAATGTTGTCAGAGGTTTCAAAATAGGGAAGGACGTTTCTCTCCCAGTAACCTATGTTCGTACGTCTCAGAACCCCCAAATGGATCTAGGAGGAAACCCCCCTTCAGAGAGACCTATTTTAGCTTTCTTTGCTGGGGGAATGCATGGTTATCTCCGTCCAATCTTATTACAGTACTGGAACAATAAAGAACCAGACATGAAGATCTTTGGGCCAATGCCTCGTGACATTGAAGGTAAATTGAGATACAGGGAGTTCATGAAGAGCAGCAAATATTGCATTTGTGCTAAGGGCTATGAAGTTCACACTCCACGGGTGGTTGAGTCAATATACTATGAGTGTGTACCAGTTATCATATCAGACAACTATGTGCCTCCATTCTTTGAGATATTGGATTGGGAAGCGTTTTCTGTGTTTGTTTCAGAGAAAGATATTCCAAATTTGAGGAACATACTTCTCTCAATTCCAGAAAAGAAGTACCTGGCCATGCAGCAGAGAGTAAAGATGGTGCAGCAGCATTTTCTTTGGCACAAAAAGCCTGTAAAGTATGACTTGTTTCATATGATCCTTCACTCAATTTGGCACAACAGAGTTTTTCAGTTGTAGAAAGATATTCTGAAGATAAGAAAAGATGAATCTTTTTTTCAAAATACCATGATTTGGAATTTTGATTTCATATGTGTTGTAGTTTCTAGCTTATTACTCCATCTACAGTTGTTTCCATGAAAACTGATTCGAACCCACACTTTCCATGTAAAATATCTGTTTACAAAACACGCTTTCAATAAAATAAAAAAAAACCTTGAAACCGTGCTGTGCAAATACACTTTTACATTGAAAAGCATGAATTCAAATCACGTTGTCAAGAAAATAATCGTAGATTGCATGATAAGTTATGAATCACTGTATAACTGAAGTGAAGTTACAAAACAACGACAACTTGGGAATAAACTCAAGTCCTTTGACACAAAAAGCCTGTGAATGATGATTTATTTCATATGATCCTTCACTCAGTTGGGTATCACAGAGTATTTCAGGTAAAGCCTGGGTGAGAGTGTCACAGAATTTGGCGACTTTGATACTGAGGAAGCAAGAAACAGAGCCCATATCTCAAATAGTATCTTGTTTTGTAGGCTTGAACAACAACAAACAAGAGCTGCAAGGAAATTGAATACTCAGTGAAATATGTGCTGTTGGATTTGAATGGGGATATGAACATGCAAGGTAAATGAGTTACAAGTGCAAAGCTCTTCTTTAATGAGCATTACCCTATTTACATGAGAATAACAGGGATACAAGTAGAGGTGGCAACTTTCAATATGATGCATTAATACAATTAAAACCTAATATGAAAATAGTGTTTGTTATTGATTATTTTAGACTAGAAATAATTACGTATTCACCTCTATATATTGTGTGAGGTATTCATATACTAATTTGGATTGAGATATTCTTTCTTTGCAAAAAAAAAGGTTTTGTATGAGGGTTCATCACCCTCCATACCTGGCAAAGTCTTGTTGTTAGCTTAAGATAACATGAGAATAAAACCGAAATTCTATCAGCCCTTGAGATAAAATGTTATACACAAACAATTAGGTTTTAACACGACAAAATCTAACTTCTAAAACAAAAATTCATTTCTTGATTGGATATTGTATGAGTTTTTGTATGGTCAAACACTGATAACTCCATTTTGATAAAATAAATCCCTAAACTACTATTATTTTCCATTTCTTGATCGGGGTATATTAGAAATTCTTTTATTATTTGGTATTTTTTTACTAAATTTTATGCCATCAACATCTTGAAAAAATATTCATCGTAACGGTGATACCATATTAGAATTGGTAACATAATATAACCAACCAATAATGTGTAAACAAATAAGAAAACAGATCTCACACAAGTCAATAATTATATGTCCATGTAAGCCAATAAGTAAGGATAAGAATTTTGTTTCGGAGAATTGTTCTGGTCATCTAAGAAACAAAAACATTTCGACGTGTTTCGGAAACGTTTCAATTTGTTTTGGAAATAAAATGAAAAAAATAAAAAATTTAATAATTATTTTTTCAAAACATTATTTGAAATACACTAAAATATCTTGACATTCCTTAAAACATTCTAAAACAATTGTAAAAAAATGTATTAAAACATTACAAAACACCTCGAAACATTATAAAAAATCTCGAAATATTAGAATTTTGATTTTATCACTGATTCGTTTCGTTCTTCTTGAAAACAGAAACGTTTTGGATTTTTCAACTGTTTTGAAACGAAAATTTGATCCTAAGACAGATCATAAGACTCTTAACTATGTTCAGCAAATAGACTTTTATTGGTGGAATTATAAGACTCTTAACTGCATCAGTTGTTCCTCTTAGAAATGAACTCAGCTAGACTAACACAACAATCAATTACCAAGCCCTAATACAAACTCCAAAACTCTAACCTCTAACTTCAAGATGAGAAATTTGGCCGATACCCATCCCACTCGGTGGCCAGGGGTGGCTCAACAACATTTGAGGCTTGATGCAATGACGGTCAATGATATTTTTATATTTTTTTAATCATAATTTAATTTTTTAATTTAAAATCTATTATTTATATTTTTTGATGAAATTCGGAATTGCTAATTTTTTTATTTAAATTTTGCTAATATATTTTTTAAATTAATAAAATGACTTTTGATAATACATATTTAGAGGAATAAAATTAATTTTTTTATTAATATTTTTATGTTCTTTTTATTTGTTTTATATGTTTTTTATTGAAACTGTGGAATTCGATAATTGATTTTATTATAAATAAATTTATTGTTATCTTTTTTTTAGATTATTTTACTATCTTTGAATTTTATTTATTTATCCATGCAACTTTCACCTAAATGTTTGTTATATTTTATTTGTTCCTAAGAACTTTATCACAACATTTTTTTAATGAGAATGAATGGTTTAATTTGTTTTGTGTTCAAATGAGAAAAAAAAAACCAAGTTTAAGAGAAGTAAAAAATGTGTTTGGTTTATTTATTTTGACTAAAAAGAGATACTTATTACATTTCTTTGATCGGAGAAAAAGATAGATTTTGTCAGTTTTTTTTATTAATCGTTTTTGTCCTTTAATAAGTGTGATTGTGTGAGGAGGTTTGAACTTTTGGGCTCAAATTTTTAGTTTTTTTGCTGGTTTGCTCTTTCAAAAATTAATTTATTAGGTAATATTATAGTAAATTTTATTTTTAACTTATATTGTATTATTAATTTTTAAATTTGAGGCATTTTTTGTGTGTGGGGCCTACAGCTCCACTTTTATTTTTATAGTATAGGGCCGGCCTGTCGGTGGTTCGACATATATACTGCGCATGTTAACTGTTTTTTTTTCTGAGCTATTACTGCTTGTCCGAGAAGGATCACGAGATAGTATTACGTAGATAGTATTAACTATTGAATAGGTAGTGAATTCCAATAAATATTGAAGTTACAGTGAAATTAATGATTAAAATATTAAGTCTAATTTTTAAATTTATTTTTTTAAATACATGTTTAAAGAAATTAGACTAAAATACGAAGTCGTCTGTATCAATAGCACAGCGAGACGACGTCGGCAGTGATCTAAAGTGGGCGGCTTCGGACCCTGTACCATGTAGAGACTGTAGACTGTAGAGCAGAAAAGCAACCGTGAGACACGAATAGAATTTTAAGAATGATTTAGTGATTATAAATAAAAAAAATTTAAATTTGATATTCTTGCTATTCTTCGGGGAATGTGTTCTTATAGCTTGATTTACAATGATCAGGTCAAAATTTGAAAAATAGTCACCGTAAACCGTAAACGTAAAAAAATTGTGAAACAGAGAGAGAGAGAGAGAGAGAGAGAGAGGAGGGGGACCATGGGAGTCTCAAAAAGACAGAAGCTATTGGTGACCCAATAATATCACCTATCCAAAAACAAAGATTAATTATTCTGATGTAAGCAAACAGATTTATTTTTGTTGCTTTTAATATAATTTTTTGTATTAAACAAATTGAAAATCAGGTTGGTTAGAGATTCCCTCAAAAAATAAGGATACTTACTATGTCTGAATAAACTAATCAGTAATGTCATCTTTACTGAATGTGGTAAGATAAGGCGCTCTGACCCCTATTAGTTCGAATACTTCAAGCAATTAATGCCCAATTGGGAGTTATTTTACTCTGGAAAATTGTGTTCCTTGTACTGGTTCTAGTTCAACTCTGTACTTGCAATCTCATTTCAACGCCGTTATGTTTTTTCGGCATTTCAGGATTTGATGCTTGTTTGTTGCTTCTGGGTATGTTAAAAAGTTGACATCTGGGTTGAAGTTTGATGCATCTCTGTACTCCATTTTCTTCTGGGTATTCTCTCTCTCTCTCTCTCTCTCTCTCTCTGAAGCAACTCTTGATCATGGGATAGTACTTTTGAAATGCATCAATTAAGAACAATTTAGTATGATTTTAGATTTGGGTACTTTGAGGTTGCGATTATTGATCTTTAGATTGTTGTAAGTAATTGCCTATTTCTAGTTGTTATAAAAATTGCGTAATTTAACCAAGCATTACACTCCCTTCCCTTGCTCTTATTTTTTTTGTCGGCTGTACATCATGTGTTCTGCTTGACTTGTGTGTTCTGCTCAATAAGTATACTGTAGTTCTCTGAGCAAAAGTTCAATGCTAACGTCGAAAATTAGAGCAATTTTTTTAATGTTTATAGTAATCTTCTTGCTCATCGAAACTCAGGCAGTGGCTCTGTGCAGTATCTAAAGTTTGTTTCCCTAATTGGAAACATTTGGTTATGTTGATTTTTGTGTTTTTTTCAAAGATCTGGAGCAGCTTTGCAACCTGTTCTTTGATTAGTTATTATTTTTTATGCTTGTCAATGTTCCGAAGTTCAACCGTTGAGAGCTTAAAGATTTGTCATGTTTTAGAGTGCACTTGGATCATATACATATAGAATGCTTTATTTTCCTGTACAAGACCTTCGTTTTTGGGCTTTTTTTTTTTTTTTGAGTTGGACCTGAATTCCGCTGGTAATAATGCAGGATTTGACAAAGTTACTATTTCTTGGATGATCAGTGAATTCTAATTGCCGTATAAGTATGGATTGGCCAATACAATTTCAAAAGTTTTTCCAGAATGAAAGGAGGAGATGGCTCTTTGTAGTGGGTTTAGTGGGTATTACTCATTTGTTTTGTCAGTCCTTGTTGCTTCCATATGGAAATGCTCTTCTCTCTATGTTGCCTGATGGTGAGGTTCCAATAAGTGGGAAGGACAGTGTTTCATCTAGACAATCTTCTGCTAAGGCCGTTGTGGTGGTTACCAACTCCCTCGCCCTTAATGGTTCAGACGTGATAGATACATCTCTATCTGTTGGCCAAGGCAAAGATGCAGTAAGTAGAGACTTAGATGGAGACACTGAGGATGATATGGGACCGGCAAGAAATGATAATGACAAAGAGACTACAGTTGCTTCAGATGGCGAAGACCTAGACAGCAATCCAGACTTTGTTGAAGATGAACAGATAGACAACAATAATCTGTTTGAAGATATTGAAGAGTTGGGTGAGGGTTCTACAGCAGAGAATGTTGAAAATCAAAAGAAGGGTTTCATATTGGAAAAGGCTAGTGAAACTAAGTATGGCCTCTCTCTGGAGCAGATTGTGAAACCAAGTCATGAGAATTCCATGGGCAATATTCAAGATGCAAATCCACTTATACTGCCAGACAAATTTACTGTACAATCTTTGCCAGTTACATTGCCTCCAGTAATATCTTCAGTTAATAGAACATTTATGCAAACGTCTGCACCTAATGTGAGCACCTCTATTGTCTCTACTGTCAATAACTCTTCAGTTAAGGAAGCAATAGAAGTCCTTCAAGATGATGAGAACCATGTGCTGTTGCAAAGCAACTTGGACACTTCAAAAAATGATTCTGCAACTGTCAGTAGTCCCGTTAAAAAAAAGATGAGGTGTCAAATGCCACCAAAATCAGTAACAACCATAGATGAGATGAACCGTTTACTAGTTCGGCACCGTGCTCGTTCACGTGCAATGGTATGGGTTTTTCTTTCCCTTAATTCTTTTGGTCTTATATCAGTGAAGTGTTTAACTTCTTCAAATTGGATTACAGAGACCAAGATGGTCCTCAGTACATGACCGAGAAATCCTGACTGCAAAGTCACAGATTGAGAATGATCCCATCGTGAAGATCAATCGAGAACTTTATGCTCCCCTCTTTCGGAATGTTTCAATGTTTAAAAGGTTAGACTAATGCAATTGTATATGAAGGATGTAATCCGTCTTGAAATTAGTCACTTCTCCATTCACACAAACGTTTAAATACAAGAAAAAATTTCCATGTATTATGCGGGATTAACACCGATGATCCATGTAAGAATTTGAGAAAACAAATATAAGGGAAGGAATATCACAAAAGAGCCATCATTTTCTAATCCACAACAGAAGCCCTAGTCAACATATGTTTATATTTCAATATTTGAGAGTGATGTAGTCTAGGGTCAGTGAGGAAGCATTACTTATCTGAATCCTACTAGTCTGATTCAGTAACTAAATTTTTGTCAAGCATGGCATGCATCTGTATCCCCCTTCTTATTATCTACTGCATTATGATGCATGATCTACTTCATATCACCTTCCAAACAATGACCTGCCTGCCTCCGATGTTCATTAGCCTACTTGTAAATCTGAAAATAATGTGTATTTGTTTTACCTCATCTGTATATACATACTAGTTTGGTTTGAAGATCAAGTAGTGTGTGGAAGTCAGTTTTGTCCTTGGTTGATTTAGGCACGTTAAGAAGCACAAGCATATGTCACTCTTGCCCTTTTTTTTTTTTATCTACTTTCCCACTAACAACACCTCCTTTTTTCCCCTCTTCGGTAGTCATGCTGTTTTCAATCTGCATGTCTTGTTAACAGATTACATATAAGCTGTAGAATTTCAAATATATTGGGCAGAGCCATGGGTAGTAGAGTGAGGATGTTGCCTGTGATCTATGTGTTCACTGATCAGTGGTGAACCTTTATGTTACGCTGTCCGGATACAGCAGAATGTGTCACCATAAAAATTTTATTATTCAAATTAAATGGTCTTAAGCAGCCGTTATTTTCCCCTCAAACACTTTGATATACATCAATACGCCTGTTCCGGCCATGAGAGCCCGGATTTTAGACTGCTATTGCTTCTCTGTTGAGAAAGCATTTCTCAAGATGTTTTTCTTTTGTGAATTGGCAGGAGCTATGAACTCATGGAACGCATACTCAAAGTATATATTTACAAGGATGGAGAAAAACCCATCTTTCATCAACCAATAATGAAGGGACTCTATGCCTCCGAGGGATGGTTTATGAAACTGATGGAGGGAAATAAGCGTTTTGTTGTGAAGGACCCCCGAAAGGCACACCTGTTTTATATGCCTTTTAGTTCACGGATGCTACAGTACACCCTGTATGTACATAACTCTCACAATCGGACCAACCTACGCCAATATCTCAAGATTTATTCAGAAAAGATAGCAGCAAAATATCCTTTCTGGAACAGAACTGGTGGGGCAGATCATTTTCTTGTTGCTTGCCATGATTGGGTAATGCTTCCCATCCATCTTTTCCTTTAATTTGTTTCTCTTTTAATAATTCAAGAACTTAAATATGGTTGGATTTTGTACATGGGTTGTGTAAGATGATCCGACACTGCTATGTTTTGTCCTAGAGTCCTCTTATGTTGAACAACGTTAGTGTGAAAGCAGGCGTGAAATAGTAGCCCAGTTTCCTTATCTCTTTCGTTATTATTAATCAGAACCCATCACAACCTGTCATGTTTTCCATAATGAGTTGCTCTCTTCCCCTTTTTTTAATTTTATTTCCCATAGATATAATAGGATCACAAGTTCTATGTGGATATATTCTAATATGTTGTATGTTTATAGGCCCCATATGAAACAAGGCATCATATGGAACATTGCATCAAAGCCCTCTGCAATGCTGATGTAACTGCAGGCTTCAAAATAGGGAGAGATGTGTCCCTTCCAGAAACATACGTCCGTTCTGCCAGAAACCCTCTTAGAGACCTTGGAGGAAAGCCACCTTCTCAAAGGCATATTCTTGCCTTCTATGCTGGTAACATGCATGGATATTTACGCCCGATCTTGCTCAAGTATTGGAAGGACAAGGACCCTGATATGAAGATCTTTGGTGCAATGCCTCCAGGTGTTGCAAGCAGAATGAATTACATTCATCATATGAAGAGCAGCAAGTACTGCATCTGCCCCAAGGGTTACGAGGTCAACAGCCCGAGGGTGGTTGAAGCCATCTTTTACGAGTGTGTACCTGTGATCATCTCTGACAATTTTGTGCCACCATTTTTCGATGTCTTAAATTGGGATTCATTCTCAATCATTATCGCTGAGAAAGATATCCCTAACTTGAAAGACGTACTCATTTCTCTACCGGAAGAGAAGTATCTAGAAATGCAAAGTGCGGTGAGGAAGGTTCAGCAGCATTTTCTGTGGCATGCCAAGCCCATGAAGTATGATCTCTTTCACATGACCCTGCATTCAATTTGGTACAATAGAGTTAATCAGATAAAACTTAGATGACAATTGCCATGGCTTTTTCGACAAGCAAAATTTGGAGGACTGAATCCATTACAGCTGCTTTTCGATTTCTCCTGGTCTGACTACCACTCCTTGGATTTGAGAACAAAATGTAGAGGCGCCTGTTAAATTTTCTGCTGTAAGTAGTTTTCTTGTATATATACTGTTGTATCAATCTTCTCTTGTATAAGAAGATTAATCTTTTACCTGTTGCAGATATAAAAAAATGTTCCTCAACATGATCAACATTTCTGGATTTTATCATTTTGCAGTGTTGCACCGCCCCTACCTTCCCCCCAAACACAGCCCCAATGCACAACGACAATACTAAGAACGTCTTCGGTTTTAGTAGTCGGTCTGACGTAATCAGGGTTCATTATCTCACTTTGTTGTAATAAGTCTCAAGGAAGTCAGTCCTTTAGTTCTTTTCCAATTCCATCAACGAAACTGAGAAGATCGTGTGCTTCAATCAATGTTATTATCTGAGTTTTCCATAGTAGGTAGTTCGTCTGTGTCAATTTTATGGACAAAAAATGGGAGATGGATGGGATACTAAGTGCTGAGGAGAAGGATCCTAAGTGATGAGGAGAAGGATGCAGACACAGTCCCCCTTAGTCTCTTCCATAGTTGACCAAATATCAACCCTCTCTTCTAGATCCTCGCTTCTATGAGTCAAATTACTCTCCTTGGGAGTTTTTTTTTTTGGTACATGGTCTCCTTGGGAGTGATCTTCTTGACTACACCCTCCTCGGCTTTGTTACTCATATATTCATCCTGAGCAATCTCTTCCGGTTCAGCAGTGTCCAGATCTGGCATATATGTGCACGCACAAAGAACCCCAAGAAAGAGAAAAATTCTTTGGAATCTTATTTTTCATGAAAACTACAGATTTAACTTGGCTTATTCATGCATCATCAAATTACAAGCCTAAGATTTTTGGCTATAGCATGAAAGTGAATGACAGGGCAGTGAATATAATGTATGGATAGGCATGAAACTTTTGGTGATTTGGTTCTAGAACTATTGAATTTCTCTCTGCTAGGGTCCAAATCCAATTGATTTTAGGTAGACCCAAAAGTGTCCCTAGCCAATTTATTTTCACCTTTAGGGGTGTGTGTTGGCAAATCATGGGTGGATTGGACTGTCTTGGATATAAATCCTAAATCAATTCAGTGAAATTCCAATAGGCCGGATATATGGAGGGATAAAAGAAAATTGTGTTATCCAATCCCTGCTTTGGATAGTGCATTATAAAGGGGTTGAAATATGGACAAATTATAATTTTTTATTAAATATCTAATACATTTGACAGTCATTGACCATTTTACCCTTGAATCCTATCCAAGCCTATCTCATTTTTGGCTTGACAATTGTTGGTTACCACTTTTGAAATAATTATTTTTTTAATTTTTGTTCATTGTTGATTACCAATTTAATAATGTGAAAAATATAAGAATGTTTATATATTCACCAAATACATGTTTTTACACATTAATTTTATAATACAATTTTATAAGTCGCTCACAAATTTATTTCATCCGTCAAAAAATTTAAAAAATTTAGGACAAATAATGCAAAAATATACAAAAAATTATGGCACAACACAAATTAACATGAAATATAGAAGAAATTAACTATTTTTTTCATTTTTTTTTTGTAAATATTAAAATACGATAAAATTAATTCCAAGCACAAGGAAAAATACAAGCCATGATAGGAAAAAACTATATACAAACCTCATTCAAAACATGTAAAAAAGAACAAAACATGTGTTACTAAGAAAAATTATATACAACATTCGCATACAGTCAAGTAGTGTGATCAAGTGCTCATAAAAAATTGAGTACTTTTTTTAGTCTACCAAGTGGCAGAAATTTTTTTTTTAAATGTTTTCATCAACTGTCACAAGACTCTCCATATATCTCCCAATCTCCACATATCCTGTATGACCATGACATGCACAAAAATAAAAAAAATACAAAAATACAATAACACATTGACAAGCAAACTCCGAGTGGATTCATGGGCAAAAGAGCAATAGCAAAGAACAAGCACATTACAAAATCACCTGTAACATTTGAACAACATAAACTTAAAAAAAGGGTCTTCTCCCATTTGAGGGGGTTAACCACTTCCCATGTGAATTCAGGGTCATCCCTTCCAAAATAATCATAGTAAAAAGAGTCATCCAACAAACCATTGCCTTAAACCAAAACATTACAAATATTTAAGACATGAGGTTTTATATTTAGGACAGTATTCGTCCATATTACTAATTGTATTTACCTATCCATACAAAATAAAGGCAACATTGTCTTAAATTGTTTGGTGAAGACATATCCCCACAGATGCTCGTATATCATACACTACCACAAGTTGTACATAGTAATTACCAAAATGGCTTATGGCATGTAACAAAATATTATACACACATCAGTACATACATATAAATATTTTAAATGGGAAACATGCCCATAACGATCGTCTATGCATTCAATCATCGATGACTATAACATCGACGTGCCTTGGAGAATTCATTGACGGTGATGAACCAACACTATCCAATTGATGATTGCTTGATGAAGCGTCATCTCGTTTGAAAATAACACCAAAATATTGGAAATTTGGGCACAGGTCAAGGCAATATTGTCCAGCGAAATCATCGTCCTACAAGTGTAAATTTTAAGAAAATGATTACTTTAATGTATAACTAACATGCTAGAATGCTAAAAAAATTTTACGTACAAAATATGTTAAAATGTAAAATCACTTACTTCCAGGAACTTATTTGCACCAATTGTGTCTGGGTTGTGTACCACACATTTGGCTAAAGGGTCCCATTCAAACAACCCAGAGTCAACCATCTTAGAAATTGTAAGGTATTATCACTCCCAATATAATATAATCCTAATAAGCTCAGTAAACGATAAACTGAACTTTGACATTCTGCGTTTCAAGACAGCCAACATACCGTCAACCATTTTTGTATTATACTTTCCAAAAGTCGGGAGCTTCCCTCTATTTTTGTAATCAATCAGTGTGTCAATCAATACATCAGTTTCATCCTCAGTTATGTTTGGTATCTTCATTACATACTACAATAATAACAATCATTCATTAGTACAAAATGAGTTTCATTTAAGAATTTCATGGAATATTAGTATTTTGTATCAAATTTGACGTTAGTATCAATCAAACAACAGTCAATAATATGTAAAATGGAAAATATTATCATATTGAAGTTACATTAGAAGTATACAGAGGTAGCACATCACATTTGTATCACAACAAATCCTTGGTTACTTTGAACCAATGGTGAAATGTCTTCAGTTTTCATCATTATACGACAGTCAGTAATGTAATAACATTAAGTCAACCAACTCTACCCATAACCGAGTACACAATATGGGTGAGTAATATGCCCAAGATGAACATTACCACAGTTATGATGCACCAACACATATCACGCGAGTATCCGCTTTGTCCAATTGCAACAACTGGTTGTTCAATATTGTCAATAAGCTCATCTTCATGACGGTCTTCCAAATCTGCAACTGCATGGACCTCGATCTCAGTAGGTACATCACGTACTGGTTCTCCTACATCCCTCGCATTGTACATGCCAAAAGCAGTTACTGCGTCATTGTATGAATCATACGATTTGCACAGTGCTCCTACGTACTTATTCACTTGTGCATGACACTCAACCCAAGACTGATATATGCCAACCTGTCTTCCAACAAATACAACATACCAACGTTGTTTCTTATTCATATCTAATTGCACAAAAAATATCATGTCTGTTAATCCTACTTTTAACCGGTACTAAAAAAAATACCATGTATATAAATTGCCCAAAAGCAGTAATGCATATGGTGCATGAGATAATACCTTCAAATCAACAGTACATCTGTTTGACAGTACATAAAAATTACCCATTCCAAGGTTCTGAATACAAGTATTGTCACATCATATACAAAATAGTATGTTCACCCAATAATTTGGGGACTTGCTGCAAAACATGATATGCCTTCATTGCAGCACATTACATGTACTTAGTCCATATGTAGGTACGACGTACATACAAGTGCTTATATTTACATAACAAAAACATTTATAATAATACCCAATGTTCAAAATGACCAACAACCCAACATTGGTAATGATCAATGTTGGGTTGTGTTCCACAATAAACCACCAACCCATGCCGGTCGCTCATAATCAAGTAAGCTGAAGAAGATGTCCACATTTACGGGGTCCGAACATATCACTTTTAGTGCAGCATGACGATCACCCATGGAAATTCCATTTATCTTCTCAAGCTCGGCATTTACTTTCCTACGAGCATCAGCAACATCATGCATATAGCCAACTCGGTGTGCTATCAAATCCAACTGCTTACGACTCTCATTTACATATTCACCAAACACCCGTGATATGTCGCCTAAACTCTTTTCTATTGATTCAGAAGCATTACCACTCACTTTCCCTTTCCTCTTCTTACTATTGGATGGTGTTCCAACACTGGGCTCATTAGCTATCGTTTGGTCACAAACAGGTGTTGCACTATGTGAAACAGGTATGTCACGACCTCTCTATTCTTCCCCAGCCATGTTATCTGCCTCACGCATTGAGGCCTCAACCTCAACATCTCCTACTATCTCTTCCAAATCCACTGCAAATTCACCTGTAGCCTGATCCTTCCCGAAGATGATCCCCCAATCATTGAAATAAGGCCATGCCTTCTCGCACATGCCCTTCGCATTTCTATCCTTCTACAAAAATAAACGTATGTAATCAAAGTTAAAGACAAATACAATATGTGTTCCATAACTAGAAAAACGAGTGTATTGTATATACGTCTACACTGTACCTTCAAATAATCTTGCCATATATCGTCACCATCCACCAAGATCCTATTCTCTGTACTATTGAATCCAAACCCCGAAGTAGCCATCATTGTGAAGAGTGAGTTATAATTTTTCTTCCACTTCTTCAACTTAGATTCAATATGAGGAGATGCACGCAACTCACACCCTGGAATTGCTGCTTTCAAACTATTCTCTAGTTGTTGGAGATATCCTGGCCTAAAAGTGCCGTTCTGACACTTCCACCCATTCACACATAAATCCTTAAGTGCTACAATAAGTTGATTTTCCTCTGCATTTGTCCATGTCCTCCGTGCACCCCTCTCACTTTGGGTACTTGCACGTGTCTCGGACATGTTCTATAT